TTGCGGGTGACGGGCGAACAGGAGGCGAAATTGTTTCCCGGGGAGCCGGGAGGGGGGCACTTGCAGGAGGGTTTCAGCCGCGGGGAGCGTGTGAGATTTGGGGGTTCAGATGAGGAACGGGCATACCAGGGAATGAGAAGGCTGGTGGGGCTGGAGAGGAGCGTGGAATCTCAGGGCAGGGTGAAGAAGGGGGTGGCGGGGGCGGGTAGGATGAGGAAAATTAAAAAAGAGCAGTAGAGGGAAGAAAGGGATGGAAAAAGAAATACTAGAAGAAAGAAAACTACTAATTTAAGAATATTCGTGCATGGATGGAAAAAAAAAAAACCACCACAAAACCAAACACAAATCCAACCAGCGTGCAGAGCACTCTGTGTCTGGTATAACTCAGCTTCGAAAACTTTCAGAGTCTCCTCAGATAACTTCTGGAAGCGAAAGCTGCATTTAAAGCACTAAGAAAACCCAAGGCTCTGCCGTTTCTGCTGTCAGCGAACTCCAAGTACAGCCGCATACATTAGCAGTCCATAATGAGCCTTGCAGAGAATAGCGGGTGTATTTGGGGAACTCGATGGCATCTCCGCGCAATGCGTTGGCTGCGGTATCGCTGTGTAGGTGTGTGCCGCGCTCGGCGCGGCCTTACGTAATCTGCTCTTCCTATACAGAAAGAGTTGGGATCCTGGAGAACTTGTCCCACACAATAACCCCCAAACTTCCTAGCGTGTAGCAGCTTCCCAGTATCATCACAGTTCTTTTTTCGAGATTTATTCTAACATGAAGGAGTCATTTGACTTCAGACTTTCAGTGATATACCCCTTAACAGTGCTATTTGTGAAGAGGCTCTGAACTCAAGTCCTTACTCTGAAGTGGCAGAGCCCCAACTGCTACAGTGGTTCGTCCCTGCTCCCTAGACTCGGGTCAAGCTGTGATGATCTTCACCAGCTGCAAATCTGCCGTCGGAGCTCACTTTCAATCTACGCTTCGCAGTTGCTTTTACTTGGTTAGGTTTAGGTCAGCAGCAGTCATTCACACCGTGGGACTAATCCCATTGCACACAAAGGCTTTGTAACATCTTTCTTCACTTTGCTTTTTGTGTCACAGCTAGCTCAACGTGCCAGGTAGGGATTTGTTTGGCTTTACCATTTTTCACCTGCATTAGTGCCACCTGGTGCAGTTGTCAGTGCCTAGGCTTTGCACTTTCCTTGTTTCATATCCTGCTGCCTTAGACGTGGTCCACCTGGCTGGCTGCTTCCTTGCTTTTGAGGCTATTTATGACTAACACCATCTTGCATTACCTGTCACAGTGTCGACTCCAGCTTTTTAGTTGTTAGTGACCTCTTCCCTTTCATCACAGTTTGTGGTCTTTCTGATAAGTGCCTTCATGTGTTTCACCCTCATACTTTCAAAGGGAACTCCAGATACTGATATAACTTGCCCATCATCCTCTCTCTAATTCCTTCAAGCTTTTTCTTGCAATGCTCACTAAAAATATTGGACTACTTGGAAGCGAGAACTATTGCCTGTGGGGCAGTGCTATTTTCCTGCTAGTCCTCTCTTTTGCCTCTGTTATTCAGGAAACTTTTTTGAGGAGGAGTTCCCTGTGTTTATAAAGCTCCTAGTGTGGTGAAAATTTAGGCTCTGACCTGGAACTCTGGGTGCTATGTTCAAATAAATAATGAAGCACAATAACTTGCTGTAAAAAGATAACTATTAGGCTATTAAATATTAACAGTAAAGAAGATGTTTATCTTTTCCAGATGAACTTTTATAATTAATACAAATAGGGTGCATTATTTTTCATAACCAAATGCATCCTAGAGAGATGAAGAACACAGTTCAAATTTTGCTAAAAATATTTTTACAATAAGTCAATACTTGGTTTTGATTTTTTAAATACTGTTTATATTTGTTTTTATTTAATTCCTGCTGGTTTAGTACAGCACTGAGGACGTGTACTTAGCTGCTTTCCCTTGCTATGACCACACCAATAAGCCAGTAGATCTTTCTTCTGTGTCTGAGAATGCTCAACTGAAGTAAAACTTTCCGACAGGTTTAACATAGCTGATATTCACGACATCCTGTTTTGAGGGAGATTGCTGAGATTTCTGTCGGCTTGTTAATGCTTTGTGACTCTTTTTGTCCTGCAACATGCATGTTACGGTTCTCTTATCAGAATGTTGGTTTTTACAGAAAGACCTTAAGTAGAGCTTTTCAAACTAAGTAGAATCATTATCATTGTCTACTCTCATCTCCTGAAGTTACCCTTATTTCATGGTAAATATTAACTTTAATCTTATTTAGCTTCATTTTTTCTCTAAGCAGTCCACTGCAGACTTGCATTAGGGTGATCAAAGGAAGAAGGGGAATCTACTGTGTTTCATCTCTGTCTCTCATGCACAAGTATGTAGGTGAACAGCTTGCTGCAAGTGCAATGGGTAACTGTGTGTCCATGTGTCTCTTTTGAAGCTGAGAAACATGCTGGTGTGTCTTGTGTGACAGCGTCAATGGATGACATACAGTTTGAAGAGGCTGCCAGGTACAAAACCAGCTAACAGCAGTGAAATGTTTTCATTCTAGAGTTTCTTATTTGGCAGAGATAAACTGAAGCATTATAAAATCTGAGATAGCAGTCCAACAAACTCCCCAGAGTCACAGGGTTAAGTCTCAAAATTGCTCTTTTCTGTCTGTGATAGCCTGGCCCGCCTTGAAAACAGATCAATTTCACAGGTCAAAAATAAACTGTAGTTACCTTTACTTGGCAACCTAGATGCCAGGTGAGGAACTGATGTCCCCAGTGATCTTTGGCTCTACTTAAAGTGAATGCTGCAGGCCATTACTTATCTCTGTTAAATAAGGAATACATACCTGTAACAGTTATTGTATTAATTTTTTAATTGTTGCAAGTGCTCTTTCAGTTTTTTCTTACCATATCTTTCTTTCAGCTTTTTAAAAAATTGTGTTCATGTAACAAAACAAATGTTTTGTATTTGTGGTCACCGAATATTGCGTGAGTCTACAAGATAATACAGGACTTAATTTTTGTTTGAACTGTTTTTCATTATTTTCCAAGGGATAAAAGACACTGTAAGAAGAAATAGCACATTTATTCCTAAGCCATATCTTTACAGAAACTTAATACCATTACTTCGTAGTTCTTGTATGTTTTTACACCTTGCAATCTGGGCATTCATGAGTGCTTAAGTGGGAAGGACCTGGTTACACAGACCAATGCACATGCAGTTGTTGTGACTGTGAACCAAGCAACATTTGCTGTCAGATGTACAAGTGATGTCAATTCAAAACTGTTTGCAGTACACTAGTGTAAAATAAGCGTCTGCTCACACTTCTGAACAGCAGATTTTGAGGTGCGTGGCCGTTAGTATGAGAACCAGTAATAAAGAAGTGAATGTGGTCATACTGAATCTAGAACTCGAGAGAATTTATTGGTCTGTTTTACAAAATAATTTTGAAGTGTTTGTCCTGCCTGTAATTGTCCTGTGGTTTTAGTTCTGTCCTTAGGAAAAAACCCTGTCTGTGAAAACTGTAATCAAAGAGTCCTACAAATGATGTTAGGGTAATGTTTTTCTTTCAGGCACAATATTTCAGACTTTAGTAGCTTCAGAGCAGTTTTCCCTCTTGTTTCTGAGAGCAGAACAGAGCTTCTTAAATATAGTGAAAACACTTTTCCTTCCAAATTTGTTTCCAAATATGCCTCTAGTTCTTCTTCCACTTGTGGTGCGAGTGTTTCATTTTTGACAAGAATTTAGGGTACAAGCCGAGTAACTGTGAAGTGATTTCAGTAATTATTTTTCAGCCTCAGGTTATCACTAAGATCCTGTTTGTATCGTACTGTGTAATTTCCTAAATTTTGCCAGATCTTGTTGATTATGCAAACATCTTGCATAAATAAGAGAGCCCCTATATCTCACTGTAGTAAATTAAAAATATGCTTTGTAAGTTACCTGCTGTAAGGTTTCATTTACCTTACTCAGGTTACCGAATGTTTTGTAAGGATCAGCTCTTCTGTGCATATTTCTTTTCAGTTGACATGGAATCAGGAATTTCTACAAATCTGTATATTGCAAAACTAAATTTTATACCATGATAACAAATAAATTCCTCTTCCTTGTCTTTTAATATGTGTCAGTTCAGTGGTAGTAAGAAAATCTGATTTTAAGTTACAGCTATTTAAGTTTTGTTAGTGCTCCATATGTGGATCACGTTCAGTTTATTCTGATTCAGTTTATTTCTGATTTCAAAAGCTTTCTGCCAGTTACAAGTAAAAATGTGGTGTTCTGTGACTTCTGCCTTTATGTATCTATTTAAATGCCCAAGCTGATCAACTCTCTTGGCTTAAGTAAATCAGTTGAAAGTCAGAATACATGAGAAAATGTAAAACATTTCATTTTGAAACAGCTCCCAAAAGTATATGAAAAGACATTTCCCTATCGTGCTGTCTGACCATTTCAGCTCTGACATCTTCATTTTCTGATATGGCCATGGACTCCAGAGGACTATGCTTTTCTGCAATGAGATGTGAGTCCAGCTGCAAAGACTGCTTGGAGCACCAGGGGAGATGTCAGTCAGTCAAGGAATCTAGTCTCTCTAAAGTACAAAACCCACCTTATGGCGGCACTGGTGCCTCAGGCTGAGTGAGATCATGTCCAGCTCTGTTCTTTTTTTCCCACCTTGCAGTTTCCTCAAACATGGACAGACCCAGACGTACCTCTCTCAACCTCTCTTACGCAATGTTCTCACACAGAAGAAGAGAGTTCACTAGGGAGGTGTGGCTGGCAAAGGTGAAGTAAATGATCTTCGTGCAGAGGAATAGCCCCCTGCCAGTAGGCCTGAGGTAGAGACCTCTGCAGTGCCCACTGGGAGCTCATGAGCAATCCGACATCGTGATGTCCTTGACAGGGACCACGACATCTTCTTCAAGCATCTGTAGAGACTCTGAACTCTCCCTCTTTGAAGGAAACCTCACACTCACTGTCAGTATGTGTTATGTTCAGTGACAGAGTTTATCTAATGAATATATTTTTTCACCTCGTACTTGTCATTACCTCTACTGCTGTGTTACTGTAATTTTCTTGGGAGTTTTGTGACAGATACCGAGTCTTCAGAGGTGCTTCAGGGTACTTGACTGAGTTCTGTCTCTAAGTTTTCTAAAGCCTTTTTACAAGACCTTAACAATAACTTCTTTCCCAAGCTTGAACATAAATATCGTGTTACTGTTTTGAACATACTCTCCTTTTTTTTAAATGAGCCGGTGGTTCCCTTAGCTGTGCAGTTTAGGACTATTATGTTGGTGATTGTGCTTTTTCTTTGCAATGAATCATAGAAAAACTCCTTCTGAATGTGTTCCTCAAAAGGTAATGAGGGCTGTGTATCTGCAGATGGTCTTCATTCTTTCCTCTAACCGTTTTTTCCCTGTCTACTCCAAGACTTCCACTTGTGTTCTTGAATGTGAACAAGAAAGAGAAAGTTTCTGTGCATTTCTTTGTTCCTGTCTGGTACTGTAAAGGAGCAGATTTCCTGCTACCCATCCTAGTGTTTGGTAACAGTTTGTTTGAAGTTCTGGCACTGAGAGAATCAATTTAAGAACAACCTTACCTTTAAATATCAAAACCCTATTCATTAAATTAGGAAGAAATTATAAAGAATTTTTTTCTATGAACTGAGATCATAACTTGCCAAATCCTTAGCTATTAATGACTATTTCGTAGGTACTCCAGTGGCCTGAGTTATATTTTGCAGCCTTGGAAGTAGGTAGCTGCACTTTGCCTGCTCTGGGACTGATCTTTAGCAGTTTTAAGTCAGCATAAGCTCCCTGAAGTCAGTGGCCTGATGCCCAGTTATTTTGGCTGTGGTTCTCACTTACCATGCACATCATGTCCTTTTACTGCTCTGCTCAGTAAGACAACTTCAGGGGAAATTACCTTTTTTCCACCCTTTCAGCATTGCCTTGTGTTAGGATATTAGGGGTTTGGAAACCAGGGTTGTTCTTGTTATCAACACATAACATCTACTTTAGAAATTCTAGAAGGAAATTGAGAGTATCTTCTCATTTGAATTTGATTCTATGTAGGTTAAAAAGATGCAATTCCATGTAGGTATTCTGGGTAGGTAAATGGGAAAGAATAGTTGTTCAGAGCTATGCTGTTAGGATAGAAGGGACATGCTGCAGCTCTGTTCTTGGCCAAAACTTGGAAAGTAAACTTTCCCCCATCCTTCAAAGATGTGCATGGAGCACTTCTTCTCCTGCGATTATTTCCTCATGTGCATGTATCTGTATGCTAGAGAATGTGCATGGGGTATATCTCGTGTGGTTTTGCAGCTAGATATACTCAGTGATTTGGTGTAACTTGCAGCAAGATGGGCCTTTGAGCGAAAGCAGAATCTAGCCCAAAATTTCTTGGGAGACCTGGGGCTCGCTTGATGCCATACAGACATCAACAAGGAGGAGGAACGCTAGTGTTAAGCTTACGCAGTTTTCTGAGTGACTAAAATCGTTACGGGGCATGAATGAAGTCTGACTGATGAGTAACAGTGCTAAATCTTTTTGAGTGCATTTTCAGTACAGTGTAGAAGACACAGGCTGGTTAATGAGATTTTCTTCACTACTATTAGGAATACTTAGAGAGGCAGGTTCAGACGCTTATTAAACTGCACGATTACACACCATAAAACGTTCTTCTTCTTAACAGGGTTGGACAAATTATTAGCATCAAAGCAAAGGTGAACAGAGCGTTCAAAACCAGCATGGAGGTAAGAGATCATCACACTTATTCCTAACAATATTTAAAGAATAGAAGAGGGGTGGGAAGAGTAGAAAAGTGCAACATGGGTCCAGTCTTATTCATTTCAGAGGAGCTTTGCGCAGCTGTCTAAACAATAGCACGGCCTAATGAAACTGATTTCATAATGACTATTATAATTGCATGTTTCTTGTAAAATAATCAATGTCAAAATAGAAACTGGACCCTAAGGACTTAAAATCTTTGGCCGGTGTAACAGACAGGATGGGATAGGTGGTCTTGGTCCAGTCCAAAGCTATTGACCTCTAAGCAGGCTTTGGATCAGGGCTAGGATCCATTCAACAGGTGGAGTTCTAAATATTTTTCATACTTCTGATACAAAAATATTTATCTCAGGTATATGCATGTCCTTACTCTTCATGGTGTAACAAATATGCAATACATTGCCCAATCACTTACTTGAAATCAAAATTGAACCTTAAGGCTACTTTTCTCTGCATTGTGCCCAAGCCTAATTCTCATTAATATTAATGGGAGTGATGCATCTCACAGAGAACGTATTCCAAATTAGAAAAAAAATCAGAAGCTTTGATGCATGTCAGGCCTGTTTCACAGGATTAAATACAATGTTTCACCTTCAGGTGTTTCATTGTGTTTTATATATTTATACAGACTTTCCTGCTCATACAGATCTTAGAAAGATTCAGATGGTGACTCCAAATGGCATAAAAATAAATGGAAAAAGATACCCATGAAACTAAATCTAAGTGTCTTTTTCATTTTTTGTTTTACCCTACAAGTGAGCTAAACATACAGACACAGTTGTTGTACTAAAAAGCTTTTCAGAACTCAGCAAATATTGTGATGTTCTTACATGTTCAGAGATGTACCCATGATAGCAGAGCAGGTTTTTTTACCTTTTTTTCTTTTAGGTTTAAAGAGACTATACATGATTAATTTGATAAACACTGCCCCATTTTGTCTCAACTTAACTGACAAGGATGTAAATACCTTTTTTGTCTCCTTCCTCCACTACCTCCTTCCTTGCAGGTTGGCATCAAGGTTACAGTACAGGACGTTTTGACTAATGTTGAAAAAATTGTGAGTTTGGCATATGCAACATATGTAGCCAAAGCAGTTGATGCTGGAAAGGTATTCTTTCTGTTTTCTTCTATGCTCAAAGTTACTGGGGAGTGAGTTTCTGTGAAATAACCCAACTTTTCTGATTGTGAAACACAGGAAAATGTTCATACCTGTTTATTCTGATCAGTAACAGCAAAACAGCGTGAAATCCAGACTATATGGGGATTTGTTTGGTTTTGGTTTTTTTTGGTTTTTTTTTTTCACATCTCTGCTCTGAAGTTGTTAGGCTTTTTTATTGTTTCCACTTTCTCTTGCATGTTTGCTACTAGTAGAACTGATACCTTTATAAGGGCTACAATATTGATAAAGGCAAGTGCTGGAAGAGAGATCCCTGTGAGTCTACGTAGTCTCTCATCCTTTTCAGAGACTGATCTATACATGTCTTGAAACCTGCAAGGGTGTCAGGGGTAGGGTTTCTTTATCCTTCACTCCTCTTTTGAGGAGGTTGTTCAGACATCACTATTCAGATAGACGACATTATTTTTAAGCTAGCTTCCCATCTAAATTAATTCTTTGCCATTTATGTTAATTAGTTTTCATGCCAAAGTTGTTTCTTCTCCCCAGTGTTTGGCTCCCTGGAGGTGTTCAGACATCAGTCACGGTACTGTTTGGCCTTCACATTGCTGTGTGAAACAGGCACTGTTCTTTTAAAGTTTTCGTATGAGAAACGCCAAATATTTCTCAGATCCTTTTAATAAACTCCCTTTGTATGTAGTATTCTACTTTCTTGAACATGAGTGACTATAATGGTATAGCTGAATTTCCTGTCTCATTGAATGTGGTATGACAGTGCATCTGCCTTTTTAACATTGACTGCAGATTGGCAGAGAGCAGTCATCCCATGAGCTATTAATATATCCAATCACTTCTTCTTTCTTTTCTGCAACTATGTATTACAGTTTGCAGAAGAAACAGATTAGAACAGTTTTACCAAAACTAAAGGCCAGCTTGTCTCTGAAAGGTTAATGGCTAAATTAGTTAACCTGAAAGTATAATATTATAAAGTAAGGATTGTTTATTATTGGTTTGATGTCATATCCATGACGTCAACCCATCTACCTTTTGTCCAAATTTCCAGGGAGGTTCAGGATTAAATTGGTGATGATTAACTAAGATTAGGCTTAAGACAGGAA